ACCAGAAAGGCAGAGGAAGGCTCCAGAAAGGAGGCCCTGGAGCCCAGGCTACCAAAAGGCTCGCTAGTCCCCAGAACTGCCTAACCCAGTGAAAGAGAGATATCTTGAAAGTGCCCCAGGCCCCACCCCATCACCTCCATCACCTTCCACCCTCGAAGGCCTGCCTGGACCAGCAAGGAGTGCTGAGGCTGGGACCATTATGGGTCTGAGTACAACCACAACTGCATTCAGACTCAATTTAAATTTCAAGGGATGCGGGTGAGGGGAGAAGGGTCTGAGTGAGAAGAGAGGGGTAGAAATCTGGAGAAGAGAAGATGGATGGAAGAAAGGTGGAAACTGAAACTGCGTTTTCTGCTCCTGTAGCTGAGAGTACCTGGACACGTGTGGGGAATTTCACAGTTTGGGGAGCCAGATGCCTTGGAAAAATATGACCACATTTCTATTAGGTATCCTACCCATCAACAGATAATCGTTATCTTCTTGTGTGGGAGCGTATTAGACCCAGGACGAATACACCAAGTTAGATCAGTATCAAACCACATCCTTGAAGACAAAAAGGCAGGGGTCCCCAAGACCTGGACTGACCTCTCAGCCCTCCACGGAAGCCATTTTGCAGGAAGCAGAGCTGTGAGCACAAATGGGGCTCCCTGTGCTTGTGCAGCTGCGATTGAAGAGCACAAGATCCTGAGGAGTAATTGAGTTCTAAGTGCAGCTAGAGTCAGCCGAGTCCTATAGGGGCACAGGGCCTTCTTCAAAAAGTGTCGGTTTCACCCCGGCCCTTCTCATGAAAGTGAGACACATTTGCCCCGAGATGAGCGTAAGCGCCTCCCCCAGCTCCCGAAAAGCCAAGGGCTTCCGCTGCTCTGAGCACCACCAGCCAGCAGCCGCCCACCCCCACTCCTTTGATTAGGCCTGGGGACCGCAATATTCCTCTTCCTTCTAGAGTGGATGGCGGCTTAGCCTAAGGCAGCAAAAGGTCGACTCCCCCCACTCCTCAGTCACACCCGTTCCCAAAGGCCTCTTGCCAGTTAGGGGGTTTGGTGGGGGCGGGAAGAGTCCACAGTAAGGATGGATGGACGCCATCTCTCCCACGGAGACTCAACAGGCCTTCCCACTTTGCTGCAGGACCTGACCCTGGACTAGCCCTCCCAGGCAAGACTGCCTCATTCAAGAGCCCACCCAGACCGGGGGCGCGGTCCCTGTTGTCTTCTCCCTCCGTCTCCCGCCCAGCGCTCCCGCCCCGCGCGCCCTCTGACGCAAACGCGCGCCCCTGCCCAGCGCCGGGAGGAAAGCGCTCACGTTGGGTTTAATTGAGGCTCTTCCTTTCACATTCACACCCTCGCTCCCCACCCCTGGAAAGCCACCCCCTCCCTGCCCCTGGTCCGCCTGCAGCAGCGCGAGGAGTCTGGCTCTGCTGCCGGGCTGAAGATCCCGGTGCTCTCTGGCTGCTGCCTCAGGTACTCCGCTTGGAAGAACCGCTGATGTCCCTTTTAATCCGCTGACACCGTCGCCCACATCAAACAGGCTGACAACAACTGCGTTACATTAAGGGATCGTGTTACAAACGGCGCCCCGCAGGTGGGCGGCTAAGCAGAGCGCGCTGGGTTCTGGCCACCTCCAGGCAAGGTGCGATCACCTAGGCCAGCCTGTTCCACCGCAGCTCCGGCTCGGCATGGGCATGGGATGATGGCGCGGATGCTAAACCTGCGAGTCCGCTGTCCCCAGCCCTCTGCCCCCGCAACCATTTCCCACTGGGGGGCGGGGTTTGGCTATAGCAGGTGGGGGTGGGAGTAACCTGTTTTGAATTTTGGACTGATGGCTGGGCTGGCAGATCCTAACCTCCAAAAAGGATCTGTTGGCAGGATCAAGGCCAGACAAGACCAGGTCAGGAGCAGGCCCTAGGGAAAAGTTCTCCTGGTCCTGCTCAGGCTACTTCTACTCCAGCCCTGGCCTCAGGCCGAGCGAAACAAGACTGCATCCCTGCCTGACCACGTTACCAATCCCAAGTTAAAAAAAAAAAAAAAAAAAAACCGATAATCATTACGTTACTTGCCTGGTAGGGCAGGGCTTGACTGAGTCTCAATTCTGCTGCCCACGACGCACAGTCCAGGGTTCGAGGGCGACTGAACCGGCGGACCAGGCGTAAAGCAGGCCCCCAGTTCGGTTCCCTGGGCTCTCTCACTCTCTCTCTCTCTCTCTCTCTCTCTCCCTGTGTTTTTCTCTCCCAGGTTCCCTCTCCGTCTGCTTCCTCTGCTCACGACTCCCTGCTTCTGAGTATGGGGAGTAAAATTTAGACTTTTGTATATACACAGCTCTCTCTCGCTCTCTCTCTCTCTCTCCCTCTCTCTCTCTCTCTCTCGTTTCCCTCTCCCAGGTTCCCTCTCTGCCTGCTTCCTCTGCTCAGGACTCCCTGCTTCTGACTGTATGGGAAGTAAAATTTAGACTTTTGTATATACACAGCTCTCTCTCTCTCTCTCTCTCTCTCTCTCTCTCTCTCTCTCCCCTTCCTTTCCTTCCTTCCATCCTCCCCCCGCCACTTTGGTTATTTTAACCATGTTCCCTTTCACCTTTCAGCTGACCAGAAGACGCGAGCGCGTTTTTGGGCTGAGAGGCTAAGGAAGGAGCCCCTGCCGCCCTCAGTCGCCTCCTCTCATCAGCTGCGTACAATGGGCCGCCGCACGCGGAGTGCATTGACAGTCTCTCCGTTATTCGAGCTGGAGGGGCTGTGGGAAGACATTAGAATGCCTTTAAAAATGATCGCTCATCACTAAACGGTGGCCGACTCCCGACTTGTAGGCTGGTGAGACCAAGAAGCGCAAAACGTCCCCAAACACGCAGTGCTTCCCAAACCCCTCCCTGGTGAGATTTAAAGTGAGAACGAGTATTAAAAAGCAAACCCTACCTCTGTCAATACAGCGTGCCCATTTACTTCCACCTTTACCTGAATGCGGGTTGGAGCTCGGAACGCTCGAGCACAGCCAAACTTTTACGCTCTCCAGAGTCGAGAGGTGGGCGGGCAAGAGCGACTCCCACTCCAGGCGGCGGCTTTGTCACTCCGCGCCGCTCCGCGCCCGCCTGAGCCTGCCTAGGGGAGCGAGCTCAAAACGAGGGGGGTGCGACTGTGTGGGATTGGAGAATATGTAACTAATAGAAGTATCATTTTCCCCCAGTACGATCTTTCAAGGAAAAAAAATCCATTGAAAGAATTTTCAAAGTGCTGTCTTCTTTTAGAGAAAAGACACAGGCTGCCTGCGGGGAGGGGAGGAGGGACTAGGCTGTGTGCCTCCCGGGAGCGGCTCCCGTCCGCTAGGTGGCAGCCGGAGCCAGCAATTCCTGCAGGCCTCACGGAGGAACCTCTCCTCCTGCCTGCCCCTCCTCCTGCGACCAATCACCTTCGGGAATGGGGTCTCAGTCTTTTACCCCCACCCCCATCCCCCCACGCTCCGCACACCACACAAGTCTCCCTCTCCTCCTTCTCCTTCTCTCTCCCTTCTCCTCCCCCTCTCCTCGTTCGTTTGCTCTTTTCCTGGGACTCTGACTTGGCTGTTAACCGCCCTAATACAAACAATATGAGAATCTACTACTGTACTGATAATTATTAAAGGATTATTTGGAGTTTGGAACAATCTAAGGATAAAAAAATGACAAAGACGGAAAAACCGATTGATTGGAAAGTTTATTTTAGAATTATCTTTGGTGTGAATAGAAACCGTCGTTTCGGATCGAATTTATGGCAATAGCTGCAAATTTCACCAGTGAGCTTTGTCGTAATTAAACCTTCAAAACTAAGATATACTTTAGATTTAAAAATAAGGAAACACTATCTTTATTAAAAAAAAAAAAGGATGCAAAATGAGCAGAATCCAGACTAGGATAAACCATCCAAACCCAGTGCATTTCCCAAATCACTAAAATGGTGGGATTTCATCCACATTAAAAACGCTTCATAACAGTTTCAATGACACTCTCTTTCTACGCTCATAAAATCTAATCTTAAAAAACTTTTCAGAAGAAATAAAAATAATTTCCGTCTCATTCTCGTTTTTTCCCATCACAAGGCGTTCTCTCCCTCTTCATCCCTCCTCCCTCTGGGGCGTGTGTGTGTGCGTGTGTGTGTGTATGTGTGTGTGTGTGTGTGTGACCATAGACGACCCATACTAATCAGGTCTCAGAGTAAATAGCAGCGCAGGGCGATCTCAATGTAAATTGCGCTTGTCAGAAGCACACCCCCCTCCCTCACTTTCTCTCCTCCTCCCCTTGCCAACCCAGACTGTAGGTAGCTACTAAGAAGGAGGGGAAAAAAAAAAAAAAAAGAAAAGAAAGAAAAAGGGGAGGGGGGAGGGGCTCTCCAACCAATGGCGTGCAGGAGGCTTGGCTAACCTTAGCCTCCCATTTTCTCTCCCCCCGATTCAGGGCTCTGACCAGTCAGTCGCCTTTGATTATCAGTTGCCAGCAGCCCTTCTCTTGGCTCCTTGACACGAGCTCCATATAAGGCAGCGATCTCCATAGAAACGTGTCAGTTTCAATAGTAGTGTCAAAGTTCACTATATACAGACATTCGCGCAGATCCCCCTTTCGGAAACATTGCTCTGCGAGTCCTCCCGTTTAAACGCATTCAATTTTTGGGTCTCTCTCTCTCTCTCTCTCCTCTCCTCTCCTCTCTTTCTCGCCCCTCCTCTCTCTCTCTCTCTCTCTCTCTCTCTCTCTCTCTCTCCCTCTCTCTCTCTCTGTCTCTCTCTCTGCCTCTCTTCTCCCCTTTTCTTTTTCTTACATATTCTACAGTACTTTCCCCCTTCTTCTTCTTCTTTCCTTTTTCTCCCTCCTCCTTGTCTCTTTTACTCCATTCCTGCAGGAGAGGGCTAAACTTTAAAAAGAAAAAAAAAAAAGAGGAGCAGGAGGCACCCCCCCCTTCGTATTCTTCTTATCGTTATTTTATACATATATGATTTTTTTTGGAGGGAGGGTGTTGGTTCCCGGCTGAAGAGCACTTATTTAAAATACTAAAAAAAGAACATTTTTGGGCGATCTCCAGGGTTTTTTTAACTAGCTCTGTGTGTTATAGCAGAAGAAGCAGAAGAAGGAGCAAGAAAGAGGAAAAGAAGAGGATTATTTATTCGACCTACTTTGGATGTCTCACTCGCTTTTTCTTTTTCCTTTTTTTTTCAATTATTTTCTTCTGATTTTTTTTTTTTTTCTATTTCGCTGTGAATTCGTCGCCGGCGTGAATTATCCCGCATTTTTCTCCCCCTTCCGTCACCTCCCGAAAGAAGAAGGCAGCGAGAGCCCGGCGCCACCGGCACAACAAAAAGAGCAAAGTGTGTGATCTTCCTCGCCGGCTGCCTCCCGCTCTCCAGTGCTGCCTTCCTGAATGGCTGGCTGCGTCCGGCCCTGGACCTGGCCCCCCGACACCCGCGCGCCCTGATCGCCGCCGGCAGCCTAGCCCCGCGTCCAGCTCCGCTCATCCCGCTCCCCACACTCCCGAGCCCTGAGAGGGCTCCCGCCGGGACAGCGGCGGCGGCGCGGGCGGCCCCGGCCTCGGCTCGCGCTCCGGCTGCGGCCCCGACTCCAGCTCGGACTCCGGCCCGGGCCCGGCTCCTCCAGCGGCGCTCGCCGCAAGCAGCTGAGGCTGCAGCTCCAGCGGCGCCTGCAGCCGCGACCTCCTCCTCCTCTGCCGCCGTCGCCGCCGCCTCCGCCCTCGCCGGCTTCCTCTATGTCGGCTCAGCCCGCGCGCTGCGCGTAGCCCGAGCGGCCAGCCGGCGGGCGGGCGCCCGGCGCGGGTGAGCGAGTGTGTGTGCGAGTGTGTGTGTGCGCGGGGGTGCGGGCAAGGCGGAGGGCGAGTGTGTGCGCGCGCCGTGGCCCATGCCCGCCGCCCCCGGCGCTGCGCCCCGCGCCGCTCCCGGCTGCCGCCTGTGCCATTTCTGATTTTGCAACTTGGGGAAGAAGAAAAAAGCGAGAGAAGGGAGCTTGCTCGCCGGGGGGTGGGGAGGGGGGAAAGAGAGCGCGGCCCCCCCAGGAACGGGCGCGGGGGGAGCGGGCGAGGGGAGCAGGGGTGTTGGGGGGGAGCCTGAGAGCCTGGGGGGGGCTGCAAAAAGAGAGAAAGAAAACAGCAGGAACCACAACAAAACGCCAGCAGGGCGGGCGGGCGCGCAGCAGCAGCGGGGCGGCCGAGGCAGTAACGGCGGCAGCGGCGGCGGCAGCGGAGGCAGCGGCTGGTGCCCGGCTCGGGCTCGGCTCCCGCGACCCCGGGGCGCCCGGTGGGCCCCCCGCCCCCTCCCCCTCCCCCCTTCCCCTTCCCCTTCCCCTCCCAGTGCGCCCGCGCGCCCCGCGGCCCTCGGCGAGCAGCTCGGCTCCCCCCAGCGCTCCCCGGGCCCAAAGATATGGCAATGGTAGTTAGCAGCTGGCGAGATCCGCAGGACGACGTGGCCGGGGGCAACCCCGGCGGCCCCAACTCCGCAGCGCAGGCAGCCCGCGGCGGCGGCGGCGGCGGCGCCGGTGAGCAGCAGCAGCAGGCGGGCTCCGGCGCGCCGCACACGCCGCAGACCCCGGGCCAGCCTGGAGCGCCCGCCACCCCCGGCACGGCGGGGGACAAGGGCCAGGGCCCGCCCGGATCGGGCCAGAGCCAGCAGCACATCGAGTGCGTGGTGTGCGGGGACAAGTCGAGCGGCAAGCACTACGGCCAATTCACCTGCGAGGGCTGCAAAAGTTTCTTCAAGAGGAGCGTCCGCAGGAACTTAACTTACACATGCCGTGCCAACAGGAACTGTCCCATCGACCAGCACCACCGCAACCAGTGCCAATACTGCCGCCTCAAGAAGTGCCTCAAAGTGGGCATGAGGCGGGAAGGTGAATATTTCTTCTCTGCTTCTCTCCCCGTGCTTCACCCGCCTCCCTGGCTCTTTTTCTTTCTCTCGCCCGCCAGGGTGGTTGCTATGTGGGCCTGGGGCTCCAGTGGTCCCGACTCGTCCCAGCTTCCCCAGTCCCCGATGCCTTCCTCCCCCAGCGTTCCCCCCTCCCAGCTCGCTGCCGCTGCCTCCCCCTCCCGGCCTGCGCTCCTCTCCCCGGCTCCCCTACCCCGCCCGCTGCCTGCTCAGGATTGTGTCCCTGGAATCGTGAGCTGTGGCTTAAAATCCCCTCCCTGCCTCCGTTGGATGTGCTTGGTGCGTGTGTCTTTCCCGCGTGTACGTGAGAATGCTTGGGGCTGTGCTGGCATGAACTTGGGCAAGGGGGCTTATTTCCCCCCAGAAAACTGCTTCTGTGGTTTCTTCATTCCACTTCCTCCTTCCACCTCTTCATAGCCTTTATTTATAATGGGAGAGGGCTGGGGCTGAGTACCCTGAACCTAGATTCATTGCAGCCATCATCCTTTTGGAAGCTTAGCTCGGAAAAAAGAGGAGTGAGATTTATTGCACTTGTAGGTCTAATTAGGGGGGGGAAGGGGGGCTTCTGGACTGTTCACTGGTTCCCTCGCCTCTTCACGGAGCTGGGGCCGCCTCCTCCGGAGCTGTGGCCTTGTTTTCACCCCTCTACTTTGAAAGGAAAGTTTGTGACTGAACCCTGCTTTCATAGTAGTGTCATTTTTTTAAAGCATGATACTCGTTTTATTTCTTCATCAAACTCCACCCTCTGCTTAAATACTGCATACAAATTACAATTTACAACGGCATTTACCGATCCTTCTGATTTGGCCATAATGCATAGACTGCAGCTGGCATGAGCTTTCGAATCATTTAATCCTTACGTTGTATGGGTTTGTTTTTTAAAAAACACAACTTTTGTTGTTGTGTTTGGATATGCTTCATGTTCATGTGGCTAGAGATGCAGCACTTTTCTTATAAATATATTTAGCGGTTTATAGTTAAAGTTTATCTCCTGGCAATCATTAAAGATGTCTTATAGTCAAATTAGCGAACCAGTCAATTTTGCAGAATGCAGATTACTCCTTCTTGTAATTGACTTTAAAATTATATTTTATATGCCACAAGAAAAGAAATTGAATTCCTTCAGAGCTCAAGGAGAAGGCAAATATGACGACTTCATTTCTAGCTCCAGGGAGATTTTGTAGGCATCTAAAAAAAAAAAACTTTTGAATTGTGCTCTCATTTAATTGAAAATTAACTGCCAAGTTCAAAACTATAATTAGAAAAAAGTATTCTAGCCATTATGTTTCAAGAACTTAAATTGCACTGGAAATTGCATTGAAATTAGAATCAAAGCAAACTTAAGAAAATGGTGCACAACCTGAAATAAGACAGCTGCGTGTACATGGACATATCTGTATTAATTTGTTGTGGGGAGAATTCAGTAGCCCTAACTTTTCCTAAAGTTGTCTGTGTTTACATGACAATTTAAAACGCTGGCACTGTTGAAGTAAAACATACACATTTTTTAAAAAAACTTTGGTCAGCTTTAAGAACTCAAAGCATGCTTACGTTTTGCATTCAGATGGTTAATGAATCCAGTGTTTTTGCAGTTGCAAGCTCGTGCATTCACTGGGCAAAAGCTGGCTGCAGGTTGCAGTGGCACCACGCAGAACAGACATTACTTATATTTCCCACTTTTTTCAATAATGTTTGGCTACTGTAAGTTCAACTTTTTTTCTTGAAATTTTTCAATTCTCTCTTGCTTTTAATAGTGTGAACTTCGTATGGGGCACTCAGGAAGAGGGGAGTGGGAAGAGGTGCAGGATATTTGTTCTCTACTGAGAAGTTGTGAGTGGCTAGTAGAATATGTAACCTGTATCTCTTTTATGGATAATTCTAGCATTTTTAGAGAATATGGAAACATTTTATGAGCAAAAGGCTGCTCTTTTTTTTTTTTTTTTTGCAAGTGAAGAGGTCGCTAGACATTTGCCTCCAACAACAACCTTTCTCGGGTTTTGCTTTAAAAAAAAAACTTTGATTTGTTTCATTCTGGAGGGGTGAGTGGGGGTTTATTTGTCTGTGTGTTCCTCCTTGGTAGTCAAGGGGTTGGGTGGCACTTTCTTGGTCATGCCAAACTGGAGGCCCTGAAGTCAGGCCTAGTTCAGCCTGGGCTGAGATGGCCAGGGGTAGAAGCTATGGTAGGACAGTAAAGACCGCAGAGGTGGAGGGTTCCTCCCCACAGCTCCTCGCAGTGTGTGCTGTGAGTGAGAGCCAGCGGGGTAGGATGCGCCGGGCGCGTATGACTGCTGGAAGAGCTGCATTGTGTCGGATGCGCTGCGGCTCGGGCGATGTTCGCAAGCCCCCTGGATGCACATTGCCTCTTTTCTCTCTTTCTTTTTGTCAGCGGTTCAGCGAGGAAGAATGCCTCCAACCCAGCCCAATCCAGGCCAGTACGCACTCACCAACGGGGACCCCCTCAATGGCCACTGCTACCTGTCCGGCTACATCTCGCTGCTGCTGCGCGCCGAGCCCTACCCCACGTCGCGCTATGGCAGCCAGTGCATGCAGCCCAACAACATCATGGGCATCGAGAACATCTGCGAGCTGGCCGCGCGCCTGCTCTTCAGCGCCGTCGAGTGGGCCCGCAACATCCCCTTCTTCCCGGATCTGCAGATCACCGACCAGGTGTCCTTGCTACGCCTCACCTGGAGCGAGCTGTTCGTGCTCAACGCGGCCCAGTGCTCCATGCCCCTGCACGTGGCGCCGCTGCTGGCTGCCGCCGGCCTGCACGCCTCGCCCATGTCCGCCGACCGCGTCGTGGCCTTCATGGACCACATCCGCATCTTTCAGGAACAGGTGGAGAAGCTCAAGGCGCTGCACGTCGACTCGGCCGAGTACAGCTGCCTCAAAGCCATCGTGCTGTTCACGTCAGGTGAGGCTGCGGTCGCGGGGAGGGCAGGCCGCGCCGAGAGCGAGCGCCGGCATCGTGCAGCCCGAGCCTGGCTGCCCGCGCCTCCTGCGCAGCCACTGCCGCTGTGTGAGGCCAGGCCCTCGCCGGACCTTGGGACAGGCCGGGATCTGCGGCCCTGGCGCTGGGACGCTGCCGGCCGCGCGCCGCTGCCATCTTGGGAGGGCGGCTGTGCGGGAGCCCGGGCTGCGCGGGTGGCGCCGGCAGGGCCTAAAGGCCTGGTACCCCGCGCGGGTCTGCGGCTGGGGCGAGTGTGCGTCTGGGGAGAGAGGGAGGCGGTGCCGTGGATCCGTCTGGCTGCGTGTGTGTGCGGTGTGCGTGTGCGTGTGTGCAGTTGCGTGTGTGTATGTGTGAGCCAGAGCTTGGTGTTTCTGGGGGAGGAGAGGGAAGGAGAGAACGTGGGAATGTGGTTTCCTACTCTGGGTGGCACGCAGAGACTGGATGAGTTTCCCGACAGAAAGAGACACAGAAAAAGGAGGAAAGAGAAGAATACTCACAAATAAATCATAAATAATCCCTCTTTATTGCTGCCTGATTTTCCTTTATCGGAAACCATTCATGTTTGCAGTTGCTGAGGTTATTGAGGGTCGTAAAAAACGGATTCGATCTAAACAAGAATGATAGAAAACAAAAGCAATACTATAGAACCCGCGAGCATGAGAGGATTCCTGGCCCAGAGAGAAATTTTCATAGCTATGCAAAGCACACGAGCATTGGAAATTTAAAAGAGCGCCTTAAAAATATCAAATTAAGTGTAGGCGGTGGTAACATGCATGTTAACAATTTCTCTTATGATAGATGGTTCAAATTAACTTCAAGGAAAGTGCATTAACGTTGCCTTTGAAGGGCTCTGGTCTGAGCCTCTGAGAACACTGCCCGCCTTTTATTATTGTAACCTGCAAGAGGGGAACATAAACACCCTGGACAGCAGGTAATGGGGGGAAATATAAACAAAAGCCAGAAAGGATGCTGTTGGGGAACAGAGCTGCTTAGACTGGGTCTTGGGCCCTGCCCACACAGAGTAGGGAGGGTTAGCTGGTTTTACCACCATTATTGGCACTATTGTTTTTAATTCCTCCATTCGGAGAACAAATAAACCATTCTAATAAATCTATCCTTGAGCCAGGCCCTCCAAAGGCCAAATTAAAACCATTCTTGAGCAGAGATGGCAAAACCTCTTTCCCAAGGCCTTGTTGAACAGTAAGCAGTGGTATAATCTATCAATATTTCTTGGCTTTCATGCATGAAGAATTGTATTTACATTGTATTAAAATGACTCTTAAATTTGCACAATATTGTAATGTAGCAAATGTAGTATTAATATCGATCTGAACAGCAGATAATTTATTTAGACAAGAGCGGCTCATTTGTATGCAGGGTGACCAGAGCCATGGACTTGGACTGCCCCCCTTTTACTTTCAGTGCAAATGCAGGTCCGCTAGTGAGAGAGGGAGTTGTTCTTTGCAAGAGGATAAAGTGTGAACCTTAAAACAAATGGAAGATTTATTGAATAGCCTTCTCGGTGTTTGAATGCATTTTATCTTAATAAGTCTTCTTGATGGAAACGTGTTTTTCAAAAGTGACAAAGAGCCTGGGAAGCAGCAACCAGGCTCCTTTAGTTCTGGCAGGCCTGGGGCCTGGCTGGCTTTCCACTACCCAGCTCTTTAGCCAAATTCATCAGGAAGCAAGCCAGTGTCAGAGAAGCTGGGGTTTTAAAATCTCATCCAGCGAGGTGTCTTGAAGCAGAAATGTAACTCAGAGCAGGACAGAGGTCTTCTCAAGAAAGGTCTCCCCTCTCTTTTCCTTGTTCCCCCTAAGGTTCTTTGAACACCCTTGACTTTGCTGATCTCATGCCCTTTCTCAGAGAAAGGCAAGGATTGTGCAGGCTGAAGGGAACATTGTGGAATTATTCATGCTTTTCTTTTTAACTTTCCATCCTAAAGCATTCCTATGAAAAGTGTTCCTTAAAAAAAAAAAGTTTTCCAAAGAAGTTTCTTGAACCAAGTCTTCAAGGTGCAAGGGATGCCTAGAAGTGAACAATAACATTGTTTTGTTGAAAAATTGCAAGCAGAATATCTGAAAATGGAAATAGAGCTGTCAGTAGTAATTCACCCCCCCACACACACTCCATACAACACATTTCCACTTTTGACTAAACTTGTTTTGATTGCCAGCCAGAAGGGAATTCATGGGAAGCCTTCTCAAAGTCATCCAACTTTTAAGCAAACTTTGAATGATGGAGAAGACAGTTTTAGACATATTGTCCAACGTGGTTTGCTCTGGCTAAGTATTTGAAGCTGGCATGGGGGTCCCCTGTGGTGGTTTTCACATTTGGCCTCCGGATGGTATGTTTAATCCTTAATATTCTGGACAGCATCCAAAGAGTAGGTCGTGACCTGAACTTACTTTTTTAAAAAAAATTTTTTCTTTAATTCATACACCTAAATATTCCTTCAAATAAATGAGATTGTTTTTGAAAGGAGCCATCTAGTTAACATAAATACAATAAATCCATTTTGGGCACAATAATAACTTTGATTTCTAGTTATGGCAGCTGATTACATCTATATTTCCTGAACACTAAACTCTTCTGAATGCACAACATGAAATACATTCTCCACACTACAAAGGCTAAGCCGGGAGGGTCTAAGCAGTAATGGTTATTTATTTACATAATTTCTTTTCCATACACTGTAGAAGAAATATTGAAGGTTCCCACATTGACACTACCATATAAAAAGTGAGACATGGATTTTGCACATTCTGTCTCCTTCCCTTATCTGGAATATAACTCATGAGTGTAAATATGTACTGCATGACACCCCCTGCTCACCTAGCTTTGTCACCACAGCCCACCAATTGATTTGAGAGTCTGTCCACAGTTGGGAGAATCCTGCGACAGGAGAGTGAATAAATACCCAGGGTGTGAAGCCAGCCAAAACTAGAACGCCTGCTAGAGGGAGACCTCAGGACTGGCTAGCTGGCTGGTACCTGGCAAGCAGGCCCAGCTATAGGCATTTCACCTCCAAGGAAGGAAAAAATGGAAGCAGCTAGCACAAGGCTCAAAAACAACTTTCCAGGACTGCTCTCTCTTAGAGTAGCCTATCTTGGAGTTTGGGAAGTAACCTTGCACTCTAGGGACCCTGATCATAAATATCAGATAAATGTTTTACTGACCTGAGAGGATGCCATATGAATCTTTTCTTTAAAAAAAAAAAGTCTTCTGGGATATCAGTGGGTTCTTTTAATATTGCATTGTCTGTGGCTGAGAGTGATCCATGGCATAAGGGACAGATAGTGCTTATGAAGAAGATATATATAAATATGGCTTTGTATGATGGCCATTCAGTGGGGCCAGGGGCAGGGCCAAGGGCAGACCTCAGAGTTGCCTCTCTAAGTAGTGACGCCCCAAAGAGCTCCTTTCCTGGCCCTGCTGGCCATGAAATCTCACCAGCTTCCTGATTCAGGCCAGTGTGGATGCATCCAGCCAGCTGACTGTAATAATTAGACATGAGAGGAACCCAGTCTGGATCTGAGGTCAAAAGAGACTTGCCTCAGAAGTTCTTGAATTATCATTAGTTTTATTTGTATTTTTGCTGGAGGCCATAGCTTGAAGATGAAGGTGTTAGAATTCTTTGTGAATCTTCCTTCTTGAAATATTAGGACAAAAAGCTCAGAAACTCAGAAGTCGCAGGCCTTGCTTTGAATGATTTGTTGTGTCTCTTCATAGGGTTACATTCGCCCATTCACAGTTAGACATTGTCTTTTGGAGGACATTGCCATGCATGAATTTCTTCCTAGATCTATATATTAGCAAACTCCGTGTTTGATCTCTAGTCAACCTCCTGACTAGCTAAAGGCTCTTCTCTGATCATCCTGTTTTTAAAATACTTATTATTAATATAAGAAACAATGTGGACATATCAACTAGGGAGGAAGCCTTCACTGTGTTCCTCTGATTCCACTTTCCACTCCATTTGTTTATCTCTAGTTAGTTGATATAGTATAATCTGCTGTTTTAAAATATTTTTAGAGAACCAGGAAGGGCCTTGGTTGGTATGAAATGAGTACAGAGATTTTGAGATGCCATATTGTATAGAAGTCTTTTTTTCTCCCTTAGTAGTCCTGCCACAGGAAACCTATCTCCCCCAAATCCCTCCTAATTCCCCACTCCCCTAGTTTTGAAACTGCAGCAGCCTCTAGCCCAGCTTTGTGTCTGATCACTGAAGATGTTTCCTTTCCACAGCCTGGAGTAACTGAGCCATATTCCTTCTGATTATTATACAGCTTACAGAGATGTGACCAATTTTCAATTACTTGATCTAAAGCACAGATAGAAGTGTACACTCTCACTGAGGATTTGTTGCAGAGTCCTTGCTTGCATAGATAGTGGATCTCAAATCCTATATTGAAAAAGCATGGACTTAATCTGATTCTAGGTACTGCCAGCCCATGATTCCTACCCCCCCCAAAAAAACCCACCCCACCCCCACCTTCTGTATTCACACTACACAGTCTAGGTTATCCTTGAGCTTTCTGGTTGGGGTCATTTGGGTTTAAGAGGAGACTCCAAGAAGCCTTTTAGAGCTGCCTGCAGGCTGCAATATTTCTTCAGGGGTCCTGAACACCTCGAAATCAGGGGCAAAGGGGGCAAAAATCCTCCCTTTAATGAGCACAGCCAGAAAGATGCTCCCCTGCAGGCAAGGACAGGTTTCTACACACTCCAAACATGGCTCCAGCATCGTACATTATTTAATCCAAAGGTGAAAGAGGAAAAACAAAGGGACTGGAGAGGTTGCTGCCTCTGCATGTGTGTGCATCTTTCTCCAGCTCCCCTAAGCTAGGTGGGGGGTTGATTTATTTTTATTTGTATAGGGGCTGGGGAAAGGGAGCAGTAATGAAGGGAGCAGGAAGGGATAGGAGGGAGATTTTCTTTTCCTTTCTTCTTCTACTTTTTACTGTTTTCCTTGAAAAAAAGAAAAAAGATAACGGTTGTTGTTTGTCCCTGTGCTGTTCACTGGCCTAACAGTGTGCCTCCTTTCCCTCTCTCTCCCTCCTGTGGCTGCACCGGGCAGATGCCTGTGGCCTGTCAGATGCTGCCCACATCGAGAGCCTGCAGGAGAAGTCGCAGTGTGCACTGGAGGAGTATGTAAGGAGCCAATACCCCAACCAGCCCAGCCGCTTCGGCAAACTGCTTCTGCGACTGCCTTCCCTGCGCACAGTGTCCTCCTCCGTCATCGAGCAGCTCTTCTTCGTCCGTTTGGTAGGTAAAACCCCCATCGAAACTCTCATCCGAGATATGTTACTGTCTGGGAGCAGCTTCAACTGGCCTTACATGTCTATACAGTGCTCCTAGACCTCGGGCACTTCCCACCTGCCCCCCTTCCCGGTCCCTAGAGACTCAGAGGACTCAGCCAGGCCAAGAACTCCAAAGCCTAGGGGACTCGGTGTGGTGGGCCAGGCAGGCCAGGTCAGGGGAGGAGGGCTGGGGACAGGAGCAGTCCAACCTGCAGACATGCAACCTAAGCTGCAAACCAGGAGATAAAGAGACTCTTTTAGGGTCAGATCTGTGAGCACGTTGGAAAAGAAAGAAAAACGATCTATGTCTGGTGAGAAAATGAAAAGAAATGTTTGGAAGAGAGGACCATGAGAATTTTAATAAAATAGAAGGAGACTATTGGACCTTCCAGGATTTATTGTGGATGGATGTGGATATATTCTGTACAGAAAACAACACATATGGAAGTGGACTGAATCCTATGTAGAAACACACAGACGCGCACACACACATACACACACACACACACTGAACATTGTTATTCATTTTGTAAAATACTAGTCTTTATTTTCATTTTTGTAAAATTTAAACATCGTATGCGCATAAAGAAAAAAGGAAACAAGGATTAGAGGAAATAACATTTTCCAAATAATTATAAAAATTGTCCTGTGTCTATGTATCTATATCTGTTTTGTATTTTTTTCTGGTTCCAAACCAGATTTCCTGTGATTCTATACTAATAATTTTGATATAACCCTTTACTTCTTATAATGAGTGCGATATATGTTGTCGAGGCTGTTCTTCAAGAATTAAAATTGAAGTGAAAATTTAAACAAGAATAAAAGAATTTAGCAAAACCCATGTGTCTGGTTGCTTGACCGGTGTCTCAGTGTAAGGGAAGCTCCTGGTTAATTTTCACCTCGACTATTATAATTGGGAGGGTTTTTTTGGGGGGGGGTGGGTAGGAAACTTTTAAGAACCATTGGTTGGCTACATTCATTCCCTAAAAGGAAGTGAATGCTTTTGGTTTTGTAACTGCAAAGAGCCAGGCTCTGCATAGGGTGATGTTGGAGGGGAGGGCAGGGCAGGTCACCTTAGTCAAGTACAGCAGCAGCAGTTGTGACTTTGGGGGCTGAGGGCAGCCCTGTGTGCAGCTGGGCAAGGGACTGAGGTAGGCAGGGTCCCTAGCAGGCCATATCTCCAGGTACCAAACACTTGGGGCTTAGTCTCCTTCAGTGACCTGGAGCCTGACTGAAGTTGGGAACTCCTGAGCTGACTATGTTTTGAAGAGGGGTGAAGGGCCAGGTGCAGGCCGAAGCCTCTGAGCCCAGGGTTGAATGGATGCTGGCTAGTGCAGACAGGAGGGTCTCATCTCTCCCCAGCTTTGGAATGCAGAATTGGAGCCTCAGCACTGCTGAGTTCTGACTTTGCTCCCCTTTATGGTGTTCTATAGATCTGGTTGTGGTTTGCCCTTCCATGCAGACTGTGTCACAGGGGTTCCCAGGAGGGTCCTGGAGCTCTGTTGGGTGGACAGAAGGCCCCTATCAATCTGGCACTTGGTGAGGTAGTCCTGGAATCTAGGAGTAGGAATTAGAAAACTGAACTGGAACTGGCTCTTCCTAGCGGCACCATTCAAGCCCATAGCAGCCCATGGAGGGCAGAAATCTCCCCTTGAGGCCTCTAGTTGGGTGTGCGTGGGGGGCAGCTCTCTGTAACAGCTTTTAGAGCATGAATGTTTTATAGGATCTGAGCTGGAGCTGTGAGAACACATACTGCCAAGGGAGCTCTTTCTTAACGTATTAATAAAGCCAGATCTTTAAAAATAACACCTCTCACACCCTCCTCCCAGCCCCAGACAGGCCTGGATGAGGCAAAAGCTTCACTTTCAGAAGTCACTGGCAATCTTTTGCTTTCAATTTGCTGTCTAGAAGTCTCCAGGTCCTTCCCCCAAAAATACCTTAACAAGCTCCTACACTCCATCCCGCTTGAGGTTGTTAGTATTCTGGGTGCAGTTTGTGCAGAGCCGGCTTACAGTTGGAGACGCCACTGCAGGTCCGAAGCCAGGCTCCTTGAGAACGGCCTGAGTTGGGGCGGCTAGGCTGGCAGAGTATGGAGCCTTAGGGCAGCCAGTGCTATCGCGCCTGGAGCTCACCCTCTGCACCACACCCAGGGATATCTTTGGGCCTAAATTCACTTTCCTGCAGGTTGGACACCTAAGGCAGGAGGATTCGGAGAGCTCATGTTAAAACCTGACCACATCCCAAGAAGTATTAGGGAACCCTCCCTAATACCTCACACTGGACTGAGGCAGTGTGAGGATTGAGGTGGTGTGGACTGTAGCTAGGGCGCTTAGGGGGAGGGTGTAGAGCTGCTTCGGGAGAGCTCACCGATCTTTCCTGCCTTTCTTGAAATGAGATGTAAATATATTCATTACAATGTGATCCCTCTGATGAAAACAGATAAACATTTTCGTAGGTTGAAAACGTACTTTTCAATTAATTTCAATATGGAGGCCTAAGCACAAGGCGCCCAGTGCAGAGATGGGCGACGAGCGAGGAGATACGGTGTCCAAAGGTGACAATGGTGATTTAACTCTCGCTTGCAGGACCCAGAGCGTTGCCCATGGCCTGGGGAATCCCAATGACCATTCTAAGTCTGGGCCCAAACCAAGGACAACTCGCATGGCATAAAAAGAAAAACAGGCCACCTATGGCCCCACAAGAGTCTCCCTTAGGAGCAAATCCAGAGCCAGGAAACCCTGGATCTGAGGGGAAAGTAGGCGCATGGGTGCTCGCACGCTCGGCAGCGGGACAGTGGGTTTCTTTTATTATCTCTTCGGTGGGTAGGTGGCCCCCACCTGCAAAACACGGAGTCAGTTGTCTTTCGGTAATCAGAGATCTCTTTATATTTCATCCGGAGAGAAAGCGGATCACTGTGCCCCCGCTGGGCAGGCCGGCTGTCCGAAACCCAAAGCTTTCTACTCTCAGAGTTCAGAAGGACTCTAGAACCTGCTCGCGTTAAAGGAAGGTTTAGGAGCCATTACCACAGCACCTAAATGCGGTCTGAGCCTTCTGACAACCGGGAAGAGCCCTCTGTGCTCCCGGAAATCTGCAAGCTCCTCTTCCTTCTGCCAGGGCTGATTAGGAGATGCCTGGAATGCTGAAGCCTAAGCCCCAAGGTCACCCATAGTGCGGAAAGGCAGGCCCCAGTAATGACCAGGCTGCCGGGTGTCTGAATCCTGTGCTTTCTCAGGCTCTCGTGGCCCAGGCCCAGGGCCGGAGGTGGGTTGGAGCAGGTGGGAGTCTTCTTTGACTAGGTGGCCCCCAGGAGGCCCCTGAGCCCTGAGCCCCTTCATACCAGGCGCCAGGGGGAGCCATGCAACCCAGCTGTGAGGCTGCAGGCAGGTAAAGGCCAGAAGGCTGCCTTGGGGTGCACAGCCCGCTCCCGAATGGGGAAAATTGAGCTTGGTAGCTGGATATGGTAGAGCCCACCGCATGCCCAGGGCCAGAGGCAATCCATCTTAAAAGTTGAATAGCAACCCATTTAAAGTGACTTTCCTCTTGAAATTAATTACAACCTGGGGAAAGTCTAATCTCTTTTCTAATCCAAACACTTGCTGGACAACTGAGAACTTCGGGGGCTTTGAGGTAGACTCGAACTACCTTAGCTGCAACCCTTGAGAAAACATCAGGAAGGCTATCTCAGGACGCTCTCTCTGAGAATTGCTAGGAAACAAGGCCGTGGCTTTTCATCTTCTGGTATGAGACCAAACGCAAGTGAGAAAATGGGTGACCTTTGCCCCGCCCATCGCCCCCACCTTTTTCAACCTGGGACCAGGCAGGATGACAAGAAACCCAGAGATAGAGATGCGGGTCCCTCCAGTGCACCAGGACTACTTTGTTCTTCTGGGACTTCGCCCCTCGGTTCGTCTGGGCTGTCTACCTCTGGCAGGAGCAAAAGGTCTGTATAGGCTCCCGGAGGCTGGCTGTTCAGCTTTGCGCTTAGGGTCGCTGGGGAGCTGAAGCCCCAAGGTTCCGAGCCCACCTGAGTTTGTCTACTTGGAGCGTGCAAAAACAAAACAAAACAAAAACCCCTTTATTTATTTATTTATTTTATAAATTCTTTCTCCTCTTCCTCCAGTCGTAGACATTCCTTCTATCTCCTGTAGTAGCTGAATCGCAACCCGTGAGCTCCGCGATTCCTCAGAACAAATCACCTGAATTCCTCTTCAAATAGGAGCCCTTGAGGAGCGTGGGGAGGGAGTGGACGGGGACACAAGTGGAAACTAATAAAAGTCTTGTTAAAGGGCCTGCTCAGGATCCGTGGCGTCGCTGGGCCTTTTACTTGGGAAGCCAAAGATTTGTATTCCTAAATGAGTTAAAGACCCATTTACCTCTGTCGTGTTCTATTCATCAAGCCACAAGTTGAGAGTTCCTAACATGAAACTATTTGTTTGCTTACACAACCAGCTGGGCGCAATTTCACGTCTGAGATATCTATCTGAAAGCGCCTCTCATTTATTATCTCTTCTTGTCAGCGAATCCATTTTCCAGTTCCCCTCCCCCCTTTAGAGGTTATTTATTTATTTATTTATTTATAGTCGGACTTTTTTTTTTTGACTGAGAGGACCTGGGGCTGGAACACTCCCCATGGAGCAGCGTCTTGCACCCAAGAACACATGGAGTTGGGAGTAGCACTGGCTCACCCGCTGGTCACAGCTGACCCTGGCTGGCGGGAGAATCAGGATGTAGGGTGGGCCGCGGGTGGGCCCGACCAGACGCTGCAGAGCTGCCTTCCTTCTTGGAAGCCCTCGCTGCTAGCTCTCCCTGAGTAAGCTTCAACCACCTGTGCGAGGAAGGGACAGAGGTAGAGGGTGTGGGGGGAGGAGGTGAGCCCAAGAGCCTTTACGGGAGATTTGGATTTGAGAGATGCTTTCACAAAGCCTCACCTAGTCCCATGGGTCCAATTCCTTCTCTTGGGGCCGGAGCACAGAGTGAGTAACCAAGATGTAAATAGTTGCCTGATGGGTTGGGGGAGGGGGCAATGCATTTATTGTGTGTGTGGAGGGGAGAAGGCTGCACGTGGTTTCAATTTTGAAGCACAAAGAAATAACATGCAATGCAGAAAATAGGTTTATGAAAGTAATTGAGAGTAAAGAAAACAATTAACACGGTGCAAGGTTGCACACTTGATTCCCCACCCCTCGCTTTCCCTTCCACCCGAATTTTGAGAAATCTGGATCCTGTGAATAGAGTGGGTTTAGGCAGTTGGATCCCGCTGACAAGGGAACCCCTGATGGGAATCTCTCGGTGATAGCTGGATAATGGTGTCTGTCTATCTCCTGAA